ATGCGCGTCCCGGCAGTGTTGACCGCAGTTCTCTTGGCGGCGGCGCTGGAAGCTGCTCCTGCGCCGGAGCCCGCACTGGGGGTGGGGGCCGTCCTAGGCGCCCTCGCGTTCGGAGGGGTGAGTGGGCGCTATGGAAAAATGCGGATTTGTTGTGGTTCTTTCTGGAGATTTCTCTCTTGATGCTAAGGAAGACAGTTATTAATCCTATTTTTTACTTTATTCCTGCTTCTCATTATTCATTTTCATATTATTCTCTTTTCACTTTATTGCCTAATTCCCCTTCCTGGTATTTCTCCCATTTTCTTTTCTCACTGTAATGTCTCCTTCCTTTCCTTCTTATGTTTCTTCTCCCTTTTTTTTCTTTTTTTTTTCCTTATTTCTATCTTTCCCTCCCTCTCTCTCCCTCCCTCTCTCTCTCTCTCTCTCTCTCTCTCTCTCTCTCTCTCTCTCTCTCTCTCTCTCTCTCTCTCTCTATCTATCTATCTATCTATCTATCTATGTTTCTGGTCTCCTTCTCCATTCCTTTTGTCTCCCTGATTGGCAGCAGTTCACCGTGAATAAATATTGACTAGTTCTCACTTGTGTCTAGTGCAGAAAGAGAGAGAGAGTGAGAGAGAGAGAGAGAGAGAGAGAGAGAGAGAGAGAGAGAGAGAGAGAGAGAGAGAGAGAGAGAGAGAGAGAGAGAGAGAGAGAGAGAGAGAGAGAGAGAGAGAGAGAGAGAGAGAGAGAGAGAGAGAGAGAGCAAGAGAGAGAGAGAGAGAGAGAGAGAGAGAGAGAGAGAGAGAGAGAGAAGAGAGAGAGAGAGAGAGAGAGAGAGAGAGAGAGAGAGAAATGAAAAGACAGAAAAAAGGAAAAAGGAGAGAAGAAACAAGAGAGGATGAGAGAAAGAGAGATGAAGGCAGAGAAGAGAGAAGGACGCCAGAGAGCGGCCGAGAGGGGCTTTTTGGCGCATAATGCTGTAAGTGTGGACCCGTCTGGCCACTCTCTCGACAAGTCATTTGCTCACGTGACTCTGCACGAAATTCCGGTCTTGGGTTTACTCTCGTGCTGCCATTTTATTCGCCTCGCGTCCCCTTTCAGGTTCATTATTTGAAATGTTATGGCACGTCACCCACCCACCCTTACCCACACCCATGCCCAACCTGTCCCTCTCCTCCAGGGCCTCCTGCTGGGCGCGAAGACCTTCGGCGGCGGCTATGGCTACGGCGGCGGCTATGGCTACGGCGGAGGCTGCTACAGCTGCGGCTGCGGCGGCTGCGGCGGGCACTGCGGCTGGTGCGGCGGCAACTACGGCGGGGGCTACGGGCACGGCTACGGCTACGGAAGGAGGCGCAGGAGCGTAGACGACTTCCTTGACGACGAATTGGTGCAGTCGGTCTTCCGGAAGGTACGCAGGGCTTGATGCAATAAGCACTCTCAGTATAGTGCAACATCCTTATATTCTCTATGACTTTCATAATACATATCTAGTTATTTTTTTCATCTCTGAAATCGTACACTTCTAGTTTGGTTTCGGATAACAATGCAGAACATTGAAGAACATTCGTAAAGTATTTCCCTTTCTGCGAGAATTAACAAAGATTCTCTCTCTCTCTCTCTCTCTCTCTCTCTCTCTCTCTCTCTCTCTCTCTCTCTCTCTCTCTCTCTCTCTCTCTCTCTCTCTCTCTCTCTCTCTCTCTCTCTCTCTCTCTCTCTCTCTCTCCCGCCCCTTCGCCCGCAGGCCTCCGAAGAGGACGTCGAGGGCTGCGGCCTCCGCCTGGTGTGCGAGCTGGCGCAGAAGGACCCGCGGGAGCTCGCCCGGGACGAGATGCAGATCCTCCTGCCTTTCCGGTAAGTCGTTTTACGCTGTTTTCTTTTCTGTGTGATGTGGTTGTCTGCTTATCTCTTTATCAGCAATTTCCTTTCCGTTTATGTATATATGCATCTACGGTCGATTTGTGTACGTGTGGATGTATATGTGTACTATGCTCACGTGCAGTATGAATTGATATGATATCACGTCTCAATTTTTCATTAATTCTTATCATCACATACCCAGAACATAAAAGAGGCACTCGCAAATAGAAAGAAAGATTTTTTTTTTTTCATTTTTGTTAGAGGAAAAGTACTTAACGAGGTGCGTACCATCATGGCCACGTGATATACGCAGTAAGAAACTTATGCAATGCATAGAAAGAAAGAAAGTAAGAAAAATCGAGCTCCTCCCCAAATGCTTATTATTGGTCATTTGCTGCACTTCCGCTCCGCCCACGAATGTTGCTGGCCAATCAAAGCTTTGGACTGATGTATGAATCAGCAGTATATGTATACTGTGTTTAAAGGTATATGAGATACACATTAAACGATCTGAATTTAATAATTTATTTGAACTGAGACGATGTGTATTCCATAAAGCTTTGTTCATTAGGTTATCTGTGAATTAATAGTGCTCTTTAGATGTGTACACGGTGATCTGTTAAGTATTGCTCGTCACACTCCCAAACAAAAGACTTTCGGTGAA